ACAGACTTTACTGGCATTGATCCGGACCATTGACCTTGTATAAAATTCACAAGTGGACCTTTAACAAAAAAGTTTGACTACCCCTGCCTTATAGTATAGGAGAAGTGAAAGTGAACACTTGTCTTAATGCTACTGATGATGTGTCGCAGTACATATTGCTATTGTTCACGAGGGCATTTCAGAATGAAATGATTGAATGTGAAACATTTGATGATGATATGTTTGCACACATTTACTCCTGCTCATTACAGCGCTCTGTTCTCTTTGCTGCAGGTATCTGTTTCGCAGCGGAAATATTGAGACAAGTGCAGATAAATTCTACAACACTACAGTGGAAGTGCTGCCTAGCAATGTGAGTTGATTGTGTGTGTGTGTGTGTGTGTGTGTGTGTGTGTGTGTGTGTGTGTGTGTGTGTGTGTGTGTGTGTGTGTGTGTGTTCCATTGCTGCAGTGGATGAGGTCTTGGTTTTCATGTCAGGTGTTGATGCCTTGCGGAAAATTGGCAAGGCATCAGGAAACACCCACAACAACAAGCTATCTGCTGTCACTCCACTGTGTGTGTGTGTGTGTGTGTGTGTGTGTGTGTGTGTGTGTGTGTGTGTGTGTGTGTGTGTGTGTGTGTGTGCCTGCCTGCCTGCCTGCCTGCCTGTTAATGGACACTCCTGCCACACTAAAGGGGAAAAGTGGTCATGGCCCGGCTGACATTTGAGTTACAAAGACATGGAATCGCGGTTGAAGATAAGAGGAAACACTGTCACGCCAGATGAGTTCAGTTCTTTATATATACGGTCTATGGTTCAGTTCCAAGGGTTCACATTGCAGGGAGACACCAACAGAACCACTTCTGAAAGGACAAAGTGACAAGAAGAAAATGGATCAAGCACAAATGTCTAAAAAAGTATTAATTAAAGTACAAAAAATTATCTGCAGAATGATTATGTCGGAATGGTCAGCATGAAGAGGGTAGAAAGAAATAGAATTGTGAAATGTGAATTGCAAGTAACATATCTGTTTTTGCCTTTCTAGACTTTAAACATGTTGCGTTCTTATAATCTGTCACCCAAGAACTAACATGTTTTTCCTCACATCACTACCACATGTTATAGTATTCCTATGGCTTTCATTTTCTCTGCTCTACAATCAGTTTTGTATTCATAACTTATCACATTATCCACACTACTGACAGTTACATGTATATTATCAGTATAATACCATGGGAACTGGAACTCGGGCTTCCTGTTTTGAATGTTTCCAACAAACCCAGATCAGGATAGGCACACCTATACTCCAGGAATGTGGACTACAGAATCCACTTAAACAAGAGAGATAGCCCAGGATCTTCTCATGTTCCTAGAATGCGTTGGGTTTCTTTATATTGTGCATATCTACATCTTCTGAAGAGCCGAATAGTGACCTTGGAATGTGGGCTAATTATTAATAGATGATAATTGCATAGGAACACGGCACCGTGTGTGTGAGCTGTGTTGATTTCAGTGAGAAGTGACATTCTTATCTGAAGCAGGATTAGCAAGTCTGATAGCCACAAGGTCAGACTGAGACAAAGCATGCTCACAGTATCACGTCAGTTTGGTTGATAAAAACCTAAGAAGTTTAGTTGAGTTTATTTGTTTATAATGTCGTGGACAGTCCCCATTGATCAACTGTCACAAACAACAGTAAATGGGGCAGCTTTAGCAAACATTGCTAACTTGCAGCTGTTTTCCCCGGCCAAATATTAATGGACACCCTTAAAATCACAATACATCAACTGCATTAGTTATACAGAAAGGATGAAAGACAAATAGATACAGACGAAGAAAAAAATAAAAGTTAGATTTTAGAATCCCACTTAAAACAACTAGAGTTCTGTGCTCTGTGTTGACAGCCATGATATTCCTGGTGTTTCCACGGTTGGCAAAGAAAATGGCAGCTAAAAGCTAACGGCTACGTTTGTTTACCCCAGATGTAGAAAGATGTCAGGTGAAAATATATACAAAATACATGTAAAAATAAGTGGTACAAAGACAGCTTCTGGCAGACAATGCATGCTCAAAGGCAGGCTTGGGGAGTAACTGATTACATATAAGGGGATTACTTTATAGGATACAAAAAAGGTAACTGTATTCCCTTCCCTTGTCCAGTTTTTAGCTTTTTATTAACCACGAGGTTTCACATATTATATTCTTATTATAAATAAGAGGCAGACGGCAGCTTCAGAAACTGAGCAGGTACAGAAGAGGGGACGTGTGGCAGTCTTTCCCAAAAGGAAACCCTCATAATAATAATAATAATAATAATAATTGAAAAATACATATTTTACACAATCAAAATAATCAATAAATGATAAATAATGATTTGTTGTGTTTTCTTCCTTCAGGCGTCAGCACGAGACACACGGGTGGCTGCTTCGCCTTCTTATTACAGAGAATCTGATAAGGGTTTCATCATAATCGGTAAATATTTCTAATTAAATACACATTATAATACAAATAATCAAGTCATCACACATGCATGTATGTCACCAACACACATATAGAGTTCTGCAGCGTTGGAGTCTTTTTGGAGACGACCTGGAAGTTAGCATCGCAAGGGATCGCTCCACTAAAAGCAATGGGGTTTTTTCCATTGGATTTTGGGATACTGCAAACAAATAAGATGTGTGGCAAACACATATTCATCATACTTCTTCGTTTTGTTCAGAAGGACACTTTTTTCATATTAACACCACTTTTATCATAGCCGAAGCTTAAATGCAATCGCAAAAGGCAAAGCATTAGGTTATAAAGCAACTACAGCACGGTCACATGACTTCATGTCAACACTGCTAAACTAAAGGCGGCTAATGTTGGGCAAGATGACTTTTAGAAGTCTCATTTAGCCACTTGTTAGCAAAAACAGTTATAAAGACAGGTAAAAGCTTCAGGCTTTCACCTGTGGGGTGTTTACTGACGTAGTTTACATTGTCGAACAAAAGGTGAACATCTCTATACCTTTTGTTAACCACAACCTTATGTCTGAAATCAAACCAATAACCAGTTTTTAAATGTTTTGGCTTTGAGGCGACGAAGCCTAGAAGTCCAGAATGCCAACTAAGGATTAGGACTCATTCCTGCACCACTATATTCAATAGAATCATGTGTTCAGCAGATATCATGACATTTGAATTATTGAATGATGTAATAAGCTAACCAACGCCTCCAACGCATGTCACCTCTGAAACTACAGGCATAGATTCATTTCATGTTGGCACCTGTACATTTTAAAATAGAAATATTAGGAGATTATGAAATGATGCTTCAGCAAAAGAAGTTCAAAGCTGTGCGTGTCTGTGTTGCAGGTGCGTTTGTGGACGGGCTAGCTGCGGGGGACATTGAAGAATCACTGCAGCCGATCTCAGCGCTCCGCCTGCTGGTTCACTCTGACGCTGACGTCTGGGCTCTGCTGAGCGAGGTCTGAGAGCATGTGTTCATGTGTGTGTTCTTATATACACCACCCATCTAAACAGCAGCGCTGTGAAGGATATGTGCATATTATAAAAACTAAACATAAGCGTTATATGAAATGATTAAACACATAGAAACACATTGACAGCCTGATACATACATGGACACTTATTCATTAGAACATATAGCCAGGATCTTTCCAAATTCACTCCACATGGGAACAGATACCCCTTTTCCATTTAAATGACTTCTGTTCTAGTTCTGTGCTAGTGCTAGTATGCAGGTTGCTTTTCACCGACCTGAGTCTTGTAGAAGCCACGTCAGGATTACTGCATTTCTCAGCAACGCCAGAATAAATAACAACAACAACAATGGTGGACAGTGTGGAGCTGTGCTCATGATGCTGTTATTCTTACAAAACTGGATTTAATCGAAGAACAACTTGTCCAACTTGTTTCTCTTCTCCAGTGACGCTGCTATTAGTATGCCTCTATAGCCACGAATAAAAGAAGAGTTCCTCAGAACTGAATGAAACAAGTTCCACTTTCATTCTCATCATTGAATGTGTGAGCTTTAATTCCCAGTTAGATATTCATCAGTTAAAAAAAAATTAAACACCATTATCAAGCCTCTTATTTCATGTTCAGAGAAGTGGTTTGTGGGAGGCTAGGGGGGAAGCATCACGTTCAGCTGCTCTTTGTCTCACAGAGGTTCAGATTGTTGACACCCCCTCTTGTTCCTGTGCTTCAGATCCTGATTCAAGTTTGATGTTGGCAGCAAAGAGGAAAACACACACACACACGCTGCTTCACCTGAGCAGACTGCTGCCCCTGCTGGACAAAGACTTTCCTTCACAAGGATTACATGAAGGGCCTAAAACTGCCCTGGTGGATTGACTGGATTGGCCACATTTCTGTCTCAGAAGCGCTGTTTAAAGACATTCCACTTGCCTTAGGGCTTGTAATTAAAACAGACAAGCTCAAGTAATTTATTATATTATATAAATAAAAATGGAAATAAATATTTCCAGTACCAACTTGTCTTAGATAATTTTATTTCATCTCACTTTTTTACCAAACAGCAAAACATGTTTGCTAAGAACTTCTCAATGACAACAACATAAACTTTTACACGGGTTCCTGATACAGGATCTATTATTAAAGGACTTGTTAGCAAATATCCTATGTGAAAAAGGAACATGGAATTCTACTAGCAAGTATGGTATGTGTATTATAAGCCTGAAATACACATTGTGATACCTGCTGTGGCTTTGACAATGGCAGCGATACACTTCTGTACTGAGCTGTCAATGGGGAGCAAGTACTATTCATGATGTCACAGCAGTGGGAATGTACATGGTCCATCTCCAGCTCTCACTAACAAAAAGACAAAAAGGAAGTCTATGGAGTCTCTGGAAATATTGTCTGTGATCATGTAGTATATCTGTGGTACTGAGCTGATTCAGCACAAATTGAAAACAGTAGTGACTCTTGACCCCCCC